TCAAACGACACACATACAAACACTACCGTAAATATAAACTGCAATTAATAGACGCATACAAGACAAAATAAACTAAGCAGGTAGACACGTTCAGCAGCAGACGAAATGCCATCAGCTGTTCGTTCAGCTGCCTGGGTTCGACTGTTGCCAGACTTGAAGGAGGGTTTCGCTAACTCTATCAGCACAAGGCTTAGGGAAACAACACTACCACTCTAAATGCACGTATTTTGCTGTAATGTCAATTTAGAAAAAAGAATATCTAGAAAAGGCGTTCTCTTAATGTACATAGATAGGCAATTCTTAACCACAATTGCGAATACTCTCGTTGTCAGCCGCTTTTCTCGGCGCATGCAGTTCACTCAAGTGAAGGGAGCATTTCCAAGGCCTCCCTTGGCGAAGGAAGTGTGGAGGAGCGTTCATGAAACGCAGCGGCCCCTTGAGTGGAGGAGCACGCTCCACCTTGACTTCGTCAAGTCGAGGGGAGCCCTTGAGTAAAGGAGCGTTTGTGAATACGGGCCTAAAACTTGGCTCCATGGCGTAAACCCTCAAAGCCGAAGGGCTAATCCTCTGAAGGATGTTAATCGTCCCTTTAAGTTTTCACATGCCATCGACCTCGCTGAAACCTCTGAGGACTGCGAGCTCCCACTTGCACAGGGCGCCGAAGTAGGAGTAGAATCCCTATTCCCTATCCCTATAGAATCCAAATTCTCAATTTGGCGACTCATTTTAACTGTTCCACGTCGCCACACCAAAAACCTCAGTTACTCTCTTTAATTCAATGGAACTCTAGAGGCTTCAAAGATAGGGCCAAACGGGCCATTTCCACCTCTATCTTGAAACATTTGAGGACCTGTGTGCCATCATTGCCCTTCAAGAGCCCGGCAATGCCGTGCGCCTCTTAGGTTATAACACTTTTCAACGGGATTCATTCACTAGCCTTCTTGTACATAAAACCTTAAATACGCAAGAGGTTGACCTCGAAATTTCAATACAATACTATGGTCACGGTTCTTCCCCTGCGCAGAATCGACCTCCCAGTGCACATCCTCAATATTTATTGCAAACCTAATCTCCTAAACATCACATTCACTGACATCTTCAGCAGGGCACTGAAGCTCGCCAGGCATGACCCCCTTTTAATAGTAGGTGACTTCAACGCCCCTAGCAGGCTTTGGGGCTATCGCAAGGAAGAGGCGCGTGAAAGGAAACTTGCGGAGCTAACTTCCAAGCTGGGCATGACTCTTCAAACAGACCCTGCGCAACCAACTCGTGTAGGTAACTGTCAGCCGGGACACCTGCCCCGACCTAACATTCACGAAAAACGTCAGACACGCAGACTGGTTCAATACCGAGGAAACCCTGAATAGTGACCACTGCATTCTCAACACTACATTTTCTACACGACCCCTACAACGCCCCATCGCACAGGCTCACCTACCAAACTGGGAAGCCTTCCGGTAGTCCTTACCCGACTCTCCCATCCTGGAGATCGGTTATTCCCAGTAGGCTCACTCTGCGCTCGAAACACTAAAAAAACACAAGACCAAAATACAACTCACTGATAGTCGTCCGGATGTAGATAACCATCTCCTCCATGTTTGGGAAGCCCGTCGCAGCCTCACAAAGAGTTGGCGCCGACAAAAACACAACTGCAAACTCTGCATGAGGATACTGGATCTCACCCAGAAGGCGGCCGAGTACGTTGCCCAGCTCACCGACTCAAATTAGGTAGATTGCTGTAACACTGCCAGCAGGCAAATGTTCAGTCGCAATACATGAAAACTCTTCCGCAGTCTGATTGATCTCACTCAAATGCGAGGTGAATAGCAAAAACAACTGCACTGAGCCTTTCACGATTTCCACGGCTCCACAACACAACTAGCCCTATCACTACGGGACCAATATCTTAGCACTCAGCAGGACACGCAAGGCTCTGCATATCGCTATGCAGGCAAAGAGAACTCGGCACTGGATGCTCCTTTTCAGTTAAATGACTTTCGCACCGCTCTAGCCAAAATGAAGCGAGGTATGGCTTCCGGACGAGACAAAATTACCGTTAAAATGCTGGCAAATCTACCCGATGCAGCGCACCAGTCGCTTCTCGACTATATTAATACAATCTAGTTCAGAAAAATGCCCCTTCCCATAGACTGGAAAACATCTCTAGTAACCTTTATTCCAAAGGCAGGAAAACCGATCAACACTGAGAATCTCAGACCCATTTCTCTTACTTCTTGAGCGAGGAAGCTAATGAAAACTATGGTCAGGGATCATGTCTCTCTCTTCTTGGAAGAGCGCCACATTTTCCCCGATTCTATGTATAACTTCAGGCCCAAGAAATCTTCGCAGGACATACTCCTAGAACTACACCACGAAGTACTTAATCACGTAGAACACCCCCACAATGATAAGATCATTCTAGCGCTTGACCTTAAAGGAGCTTTCGATAACGTCAAGCACGAAGTCATCTTAGCTTACCTAAGTGCCACCAACTGCGGCGAGCGCACCTTCAACTACATCCGAAACTTTCTTACTGACAGAGCAGCGTACATTCGCATCCAAGATCAGGAATACGGCCCCTATCCCCTGGGCACGCGAGGCACACCACAGGGCGCTGTGTTGTCATTCTGCTGTTCAACTTAGCTATGGCACAGCTCCCGGACCGCTTGGCTGCTGTCGACGTGGTAAAGCATGCGCTTTATGCCAACGACATCACTCTGTGGGCCAGAGAGGGATGCCTGGGCAGCATAGAAGACAGCCTGCAAACCGCAGCTCATATAGTGGACGAATATGCGGCTTACTGCAGCCTCCAGTTTTCCCCACAAAAGTCTGAACTCGTGCACATTCGGCCATCGGTGAAGTGCACTTCGTCCATTAACCTTTCCCTGCATAGTGTACCTATTAATGAGGCACAGGAGATCCGTGTCCTTAGACTCCACATTCACAAACACCGCAGGGTCGAAACAACACTTCACAAGCTGCGTAAGTTTGGAGAACAGGTGGGCCGCATGGTCCACCGAGTCTCCAACAAGCGGGAAGGTCTCAAAAGCAAGGATGCGCTTCGTCTCGCACATGCTTTTTGTCACTAGTCGCATCTTGTATGCGACTCCGCACCTGAATTTACGGAAGCTTGATGAAGATTCCTTGAAGGTCACCCTTCGCAAAATTGTGAAGAGAGCCCCAGATCTCCTGATCACTGCTTCCAATGCAAAACTCCTTGCATTGGGAGTGGTAAACACCTATCGGGAGCTCCAGAAGGCTCACCTATCAAATCAATACACGTGTCTGGCGCAGACCCCGTCAGGCAGACGGCTCCTAGATCACCTACACATTCGGCATGAATTCCACACAGAGGAGCGGGTACGAGTGCTCAAACACTGGAATTACGCGATTCATGTTCAACCCCTCCCCACCAATATGTCACGTGAGTCGCACGCTGGCCGTTAAAAGGAGCAAGCTCTTGCTCTCCGGCGCCAATTCGGCTCTAAACAAAACGTATTTTACACGGACATCGCCGGCCCTTACCGCGGAGGTTGGTATACGGCCGCAGTGGTCCACTAAGACAGGCAGGTGGATGGTCTGTCCTTCCGCGCAACCAATGCTACCCATGCTGAAGAGATGGCCATAGCTGTGGTTATATCACACGACAGTTCTCAAATTATATTATCAGACTCGAAAGGAGCTTGCCGAAATTTTCAACTGGAATAGATCATACCCCTAGCTGCCTAAATTCTTAAATCTTGTCCGCGAGTAGGTTACCCCTCTCCGCGTTCAATAATCTAGACTCCTGGCCATCAGAGCGACGTAGGCAATGAGGCGGCGCACGCTGCCGCCCGCGCACTCATTCTCCGGGTCACTGCCTCGCCCACCAATAACTCCTGTGTTCCAGAAGAAAACGCTCCTTCCCTAATTTATAGGGAGATAATTACCCATTACCGGGACTCACACCGCCCTTTTGCTCCGCCCTGCAAAGGACTCAGGAAGGCAGACGAGAGAATTCTTCACCGGCTATTTACCAATACTTTACTGTGCCCAGCAGTGCTTAAACACTTTGACTCTCCCTTTTCCGGCCTCTGTTAGTACTGTGCGGAGGTGGCTGACACCTACCACATGGTATGGGCATGCCAGCTCAATCCTGCTTTACCACCGAACCCAAATCCAACAAGAGAGGACTGAAAGGCGGCCCTGCTCGGTTGTCAGGACCTTGCGGCCCAATCAGCCATCGCCCAGCATGCCAGGACAGCGGCCACGACCAATGGGGTCCCTGACTAGGGACTCCACCTAGTACTGCCGGGAGGCTGACCACAAGACATCTGTTTTTTTTTTTTTCTAAATATTTACTACTTCTACTACTACTCATCAAAAGACTTCTACGGATTTGCTGTCCTATCGTTCAGCACTTTTTTTTCTAAATATTTACTACTTCTACTACTACTCATCAAAAGACTTCTACGGATTTGCCGTCCTATCGTTCAGCACCAGTGAGTCATTTCTTTAGTGAACACCACTTGTCTGAGTAAAATTTGACACAATATAGAATGAGCCGAAACTAGTAAATATTCTGAGAAATTCAATAACAATTGTAGGGGTTTTACATCTCAAAACCACCATGATTGTGGGAGGCACCATATCAGAGGGCTCTAGAAATTTCAATTGTCTGGGGCCTAATGAACATTCACTAAAATATAGGGGGTATGCACTAAGCCTGGATCCACAAGGCGGCAACACCATCTTGTAGGTACGTTCCTACTGCACGCCGTCTGTGTGTCGGCGTGCAGGTGGTGTCCTGAATGCCTCTAGTCATCCAAGTTGCCTTACAGATCTTAGATGCAGCACGTTTGTGGACCTTCAAAATAACGACTCCAGCCCCTAGTGCTCTACAAGTGAATACCACGTCGATGTAGTCGGGCACCATAACCACTAGGCTAACATGCAAATTAATAAACATTGCAGGTATGACTTCGTAAGGTGGCAGGGGAGTGTGACGTTAGGACACGCACCTGTGATGGCCTGGCGAGTCCAGTTGAACGAGCCACTGATGAGCAGCTCCCGGTCGACCAGTGCAAACTTGTGGTGCATCAAGAACGATGAATGGTTGTTGACCCGCACGGGTATGCCTGCGTGTGAACGCCAATTAGGCTCATTGTCAAACAAAAAAGCGACCACCTGTTCGGAGAGCACTGAAACATGACCATAGTCCCTTAAAACACCATGGTCATAATGAATCCTTTTTACCACCTCCTCTATACATGAGTGGGTGTATTTTGTAAATTTGTGAAAGCATTTTTCTATAAGTGTACTGCACAGAGTTTCGAGGCAGGCATTGTACCAAGACATTGCTTGCACTGAAATTACTGAAATCGCCATGTTGGTGCAGCGCATAGTACACGAAAGGTCTGTGACTTTATGCATTGATGTCACCATATGACTTGCAAGTTGTTTCCTTATTAATGGACAGCGGCCAATAGATTTTGGCCCCATTGTTGCCATATCGAAGCAGGTCAAGTGCGATGTGGATCATGCTGCCTCTATGTGATCAAGGCCACCATGTTGGTGAAGTAATACGTTATGATGCCACAACCATGACATCATACGCAAAGCTATCTATTCTTGAAAAAAAAAAAAAAAAACCTGAACATATTCCATAGAAGTGCAAAGCGTTGGGCTAGTAAGCGAGTCATTTTTAGGATCAATCGAGAAAAACTTGAGTTTCTCATCAATGAGTATTTCTTTTTTGCTCTCGATCTTAGAACAAAGCATACGTGTAGATGCCGTAATTAAAGATCATTAAAAATACAACCAAGCAGGCAGCTGGGCCAGTTGGTAAGGAATTGTCAATATTAGAGAGCGCGCACTCAAGATGGACACCCAGGGTTCTCCGCTAACGATTAGTGAAGAATAAATGGCTTCAGTACCGGCTTCGCGCAGCCGGCCGATTTGGGAGCCCGGCGTGTCGGATCCCTCCGCCTCGGTGATGACTCGGACGGCGCGGCCGCGTTGGTGCGTGCCGATGATGGCGTCGCCCAGGGTGTCGCAGGTGATCATGTAAACACACACGTCGAGCGTACGCTCGGCGGACGTGAGCGTGTGCACCAGCGTGCGGAGCGAGGTGCGGCCGTGCAGGAAGCAGCACTGCGGGTTGCCGCACGTGTCGGAATCATCGTGCGTCGCTTTGGGGCACGCTACGCCACGATCCGGAAAAAAGATAACCTGCAAGGCACAGAGCAGTTGCCGTGACTACAAGTGGCACTACCGAACAGCAGGCTAGGTCACAAAGGCCGCCACAAAGATCAAGCCACGTCACTGAAAGCAGTTGCTACGACAACGCGCGACACTGCTAAACGACAGTCTAGGCGAACCGCCACAACCTGCCCCTCAGTAACGACACCATTGCAGCCTTCACAACAATACAATCGAATTCGACCCATGTATTTTACGGGCCTCGTGATCGTTCCTCACCTGGTTGCCGAAGGCAGCTGCCTTCTTGCTCAGGTGCCGCTTTTTCTTGGCCGTCACCTTGATATAAATAAAGTAGGCTACCTCAGTGAGCACCGAAACGCCAAAGGCGACGGCAAGCACGTCAGCCACTCGCATCTTGCGGCAAGCAAATACACGCTCTGTAGCAGCCGCTGAAGCGATTCAAACACATGTACCCCACGTGGTCAGAAAATACCGACCACGTGGTACATTGATGATAATGTTTGGTGTGTTCCGCTAGCTTCCTACAATTAAAGAGGCTATAGCCTCTCTACACAAACATAAAGTTTCGTACAATAATTGAATTAAACTCTATGAACACACACACACACAAAAAATGGAACGTGGAAATTCAAGGAGCCACCGGGGCTGCCCGAGGTGCACTCGAACGCCGGTGAGTTCGAAGGCACAGCACAGTTGATCAGCTGACTGCCAGAGCACGCAAGGGAGGCGATGGCAGCTAGCTTCGTCGACGATCTCATCTCGGTTCGCAGCCACCGAAAGCTAAATTTGTCTGAACTGCTCGAAAACTTGCCCAAGCAACTGACCAAGGAAGTTTTGCAGCAGCTACGCGCCGCCGTGCTAGAATGCGACCCGGAGTTGTGAGTTGCAAACTTGCACGAGCGAGCATGTCCGTGCTGTGCGGAGTTTCGCATTTGTCGTCGCTACGTTCCCCTGAAGTGTCATGTCATTTGTTCATTCTTCCTTCACGGTGCGTGCGAGTGTGCTGTTCGAACAAACGCGGTGGTATTTCGTGTGGGAGGCTGTGACACTATTGAGACCAGCGCGCGCCAGCTTGCATGGAGTTCATGGCGCACTAAATTTGGATACTTTGACACGACGATGTGCAACTTCTCATAGTAACACTGAGAAAACATTTTGTAACGGGAAGGCTTTACCATGGTTTTCGAAGTCTGTGTGATATTTCAATGTTGCGAGCGCTCCTTTGCGAACGATGTTCGTGCGAGTTGTTATTGAGCCATTGGCATCCTACAACCAGTAACGCCAATATATTAATTAGATGCTTTATTTGCTATTACCGAGAGTCAGTGGGCAGAGCATAAATCTTGCGTCAATAATAGGTCCGTCTCAGCTGGGACACTCATAACTAGAGGCCCGATTTTAGGCACTAAAAAGTATGTTTTAGGCGCCGACGACAGGCAGGTAAAACACTGTTTTAGGCCTTCGAAATCATAATTATAGGCACAATAAATTTCTACAAAAATTGAAATAACCCAAAACAACGATGTCGGTGGCTTGTATATATGGCAAGAAGCTAAAGAAAAAATGATACTGTTTAAGATAGCAGAAAGGTATGAACGATTGAACATAGGAATGCATTTCCTGCGCGATTTGCAGTATGTGCTTTTTTGTTTTATTGTCTAGCATTGTGCGTCAAATGTCCACCATTCAATTGACACTTTCCTGGGTCTATTTTGTTTCGTTGTTTCTGAGAAGGGCAGTGCAGGAGCAAATAACCAGGCCACTGATACACCAGAAGAGTCATGGGTATAAGTCACGGATAAGAGGGATATGCTAGGTCTAATCATGTAGGACCAATTTCTCCCCTATCGGTGAACACCTTAAAGTACTCCTCACTAGGTTTGGGCATTTCGAGCTTACAAGCGTAATGGTGCACTGGGCACTCTGGATTATTCCTTTTAACATTTGCAAAATTACATGTCACAGAAAAATGCTCAATTTATAAGAATACCACTTGCCCTTCTTGTGTAGAAAAAGAGACGAAAAAATGCCTGCTTCCTGATTATATCCTGCATCTTAAACGGTACCTCATTAAGAGAGTTCCACGCTTGGCATGTACAATTTGTTTTGTTGTGTAGCATGAATGAGGAGTACTTTGGTTTGGGCTAGCTGCTTCGTATCATATATTGAAAGAGAAGCGCAATGACAAAGGAAAAAGAAACACAGTGCTCTTTGTCTCTATGTCTTCCTTTTCCCTGTGTCTTTGCACTGCCCTTTGAAAATCAGTATATTGAATGAAAGCTGAGAAAAATGATGAAAATTGCAAACGGAATCTCAGCTTGTTATTTTTTTATTTTTGTTTTGAATAGCCTCGAGACGCTATTCACTAATCGGCTCTCGTTTCGCGTCCGCTTCGGTGGACCAGTCGCTATAGGGTGCTCTGCTGCTCACCCTAATGCCACGCGTTCCATCGTGGCCTCGGCGGTCACATCTAAATTGAGGCGAAAAAGTAGATGCCCGCGTACTGTGCAATGTCAGCGCACATTAAAGAACACCAGATGGTCAAAATTTGCGGAGACCTCCACTACGGCATCTCTCATATTCATATCGTGCTTTTTTAAAGTAAAACCATACATACTACCCCTGTTACTACTACTGCTACTACTACTGCTACTATTACTGCTACTACTACTGCTACTACTACTGCTACTATTACTGCTACTACTACTACTACCCCATTTCACTTGCATTCGTCTTCTTGTCATTCCTGCATCGTGCTTTCACCAACCCTCACAATGCTTAGCTTGTGTTTGGTGTGTCGTCTCTGAACGCAGTTTCAGTGGAATGACGTGGTGTATCGCGGTCACAATACATGATCCTTGCCAGCCTCTCTTAAAGTACACACACTGACTGGTCCATCCCACAGAAACGGGTAATACACTACAGAAAACGCTGAAACGACACAACATCGATGGCATACATGCACAAGTATGCTGGGGCACGTCATGTGCACGTGACCTTGCTTACGCATGTTGTTCTTTGTGCGTGTGCATCGTGTGATTCTCCAGGCCCGATACCGAAGAAAACAGGGAAAGAATAAGGCTCACAATGACTGCATGGGACGAGAGGCAAGGGATTCAAGTTTGCTTTTTCGCACCATACTTTGGTAGCTCGTTGTGAACCAATTTGAAAAATCACCGTGGTAGAACGCTTTTCATTAGGCACGTAAGAACTTCTAGTGTTTAACTACAACTTATTATGTCACCTAGAGAGGGACACTTAAAAAGTAATTTACAAACAAACCAAAAGCCACGCGCACATTACACTTTTTAGCCAACGGCGCGGCAGCAGATGGGTTACAATGTCAAAGAAAACACGCCTTCATTTGCACAACACACTTTGTTCTCTATATAAGCCATTTCATTCTGTCATGAAACTACCTAAAAACGAATTAATAGAAATATTATATCTGATATGACATTCTAAAATTTTAATTACCATTACGCGAAGAGTACTGTTTAGGTACATTTATTTTCGAATGCGAGTTTCGCCATGAAATGCTCGACATAAGAGCTTTAACCGCAGTTTATATCGATGCGATGATGGTAATTCCCATTATTTTTTAGTAATATCTTAGGACAAACCTTGAAGTTGTGAAGTCGTGTTCTGTGAATTTTTGCATGTTTGTCACCTAAAGACATATGACAAATGATCTCATACGGAACAAGCGTATTCAAGCATACGGAGAATGTATGCTAATATACTAGTGATTGTAAACGTGCCAGCGCCTGTCTCAGGCTTCACTGTATAAAGTATAATGATTTGGCGATCTTCGCCACCACTGAATCAACAAGAGCATTCCATGAGTGGCCCTTCATGGTTTTTCATTCGTTCTCCAGCTACTCGCGGCTGCCCATAAAAACCTGCTCTTCCTTTCCCACCACAACACCCAGGTTTGCAAGGTGGTTTTTCAGTTCCTTCAGGGCACTGGACAGCTGTCTGTAGAAGGCGGTCGCTGCATCCTCGGCCATAGACGTCGCTTTTATTTTCTTACCCTATCTTTAATTCTCCCTCCTCCTTCCCCTGCAGATTCAGAAATAGCGTCTTTTTCACTCCTTATGCTCTTCCTCCAATCGCTCACAGCTTGTCAACTTTGTCTTTGTTGAACCTTATAGTGTTTGGAAATATGAATGTTGCCTTTTTTCTACTTGAATAACGGCTTCACACCACATTCGAAAACAAAATTTGGGCTTGAATAGTGCTCATATATGCGCTCATTTGGAAAATAGGCACTTATAGGCATTTAGGCACGAACACCCAGAATAGGCATTTATAGCCACTATAAGAACACCATAAAAGCCCTTATTAACCTCTAATTCATGCTCATATATCAAAAAGGCATGATACAAACACAAGGAACAAAATAGGCATTTGCCTATAATCTGGTCTCTGCTTATAACATAACGCCAGCTGATTTTTCGCACCTGCTTTTTTGCCGACATCACCACTTTCCGAGCCATTTTTGCCCACACCTCCATATTTCAAAATAGACTTTTCTACATAAGAGGCACAGACAGAGCCGAGACTTTCGTAATATCGCATTAAAGTTAAAAAAAAATGTTAAGTACAGGAATGTCAGCTACAAACCTCTGTGCTTTCGTTGTACATTGTGGAACAAGACAGAATCAGAGTAAGTGTTCAATATTGAGTATTAATTTAGCGCCACCAACCTACGTGCAAGAAATGTAAGATGGTTCTCTGCATTGCCAAGGGATCATTGATATACTCTGCCTGGCTTCACTCAGTGTTTACATTGTTCCTTGTATCATATGAGTTTTATTGATATACAAAGATAGTTACTAAATGTAAACATTTTAACAGAAGTCTGCTTGGCTGGGTTAAAGATTTGTAGCTGCTTTGCCACACTTTTTAGATGGACCCATCTGCAGTGGCGATACAGTGGGTATTGTGCTTGGCCCTGAAGGTTCGGTTACGATCAGGGGCATGGCGGTCACATTCTGATAGAGGTAAAGTGTCGTAGGTCGGTGCGATGTGAGTGCATGTTAAAGAACCTCAGATAGTTAAAATTTCCAGTTTTCTTTACTACACCATACCTCATAAATATATGGTAGTTTTTGCATTCGAAACCACACGAAGTATATTTTAAAAGAACTTGACATTTAGGGACTTCATTTGTTCCTTTTTCATGGATTGACTGTATAGTTTATTGAAGTGGAATGCTTGTTTTTTTGCTAACCTCAAGTCATAAAGGCCGGACACGTTTACAGTGACAACATTAACCACTTGTTGGAAACAATGTCCATTGCATATGTGTGTGTCGTTCACAACTTTATAGAAAGGAGAAAAAACAATGCTGCTTGCACACTGATACAGCCAATTCCTGTAAAAGCGACAGAATGGGTTTCGGGATGTTGGGTGTACCTAAAAACTATGGTTGCACACTACTTGAAGCATCTAGAAACATAACCGTAGTTCTGATGTTTCCATCTGCCTCAATTAAGACTGACGGCGGTGTTGCAGGATCCCCCAGCAGGAGACAGCTGTCAGCAGCCTTCTGGTGGTTGTGCTGGACGAGAGTTCTCCACCAGCGCGGCGCCACCTGGCCTTGTCTGTTCTAGAGTCTCTGTGTCCACAGTATGGCCTTGAGGAGATGCTGCTCCCTCTGCCACCACAACAACTTACGTTGTTTCTCCAGGCATTACTTGCTCAGGTTAAAAATGCCTGTTCAATTGAAAAAATTGACCTTGTATCTGCGTACTTTGCAACAAATATAGTCTTCCGTCTGGAAGCGCTGCGTGAGATATGGACGCCAACTGGCAGTAACTTTTGGGAACAGGAGCTGGTAAAAACTCGGGACTGCTGGAGGGTGGCAACATTTTGTTGTCGACAGAGCGCTTTTTGGTGCATAGGGCGGAATTTTCAGTGAAGCGTAAAAAACGCCTGCTTTTTCATGCATAGAGTTGCATTTTCAGTGCAGCGTAAGAAACACTGTGGTCTTTAGAATTACGTATCTGTATTTTCTAAAAAGGAACACACCGCTTAATGCTTCGTATTGATGTTGCGCCAGAGATATGCGTAATGATGTTACAGGGAGAATAACCTTACTGGACAAAATAGAGAATGAACTCGGGGCCGACAAGATGGCATTAAGCTCGCTTGTAGAGACTGACCACATCATCTTTTCCCCTGTACTCTTCGCCCATCTCGTCCGCCCGTTACATTATTTCCCCGGCAGCTGGAGCACCGACCCGGTGCTAATCAGGAGGCACTGGAGTGATATGGCTTGAGTCGCCTAACATGTACTATGTCAGTGTGAGGCTGAATGATGGCGGGGTCGGTAGGGGTGATTTCGTAAGTGACGTCAGTTACTTAGCGTAAGATGCGGTAGAAACCAGAATAGTGTGGGAATAACTCCTCCGAAAGTCCAAAGCGGCACGAGGGGGACCAAAGCAGAACGAGATTGCCGGGTGTGAGGAAAACATCATGACGGCAAGCGTCATATACGCTCTTCTGATTGTCCTGGGAGTCCAGTAGTTGTCGTCGAGCAACTTGGCATGCCGCTTGGGCCTTTATTATTTCATCCTGAGTGTACTCAGACGTGTCATTTAGTCTGGTCGGCAGAAGCGTGTCGAAAAGTAGCGCAGAATCATGGTTGAACAACAGAAAAAAAGGAGAGAACCCTGCGGTGTTGTGTCCAGAGGGATTGTACGTTAATGTTAGAAACGGTAACGTAGTGTCCCAGTCCCGGTCATAGGTGGAAACATACATGGAGAGCATGTCGGTGAGAGTGCGATTGAGGCGCTCCGTTAGACCATTTGTTTGTGGATCGTGAGCAGTCGAAAGCTTGTGTTCAGTTGTGCAGGAGCGGAGGAGGTCATCAACCACTTTGAAAGGAAGTAGCTGCCTCAGTCGGTAAGGAGTTGTAGAGCGGCCCCGAGGTGTACGATGACGTCTATAAAAAGAAATCGGCCACATCAGTTGCACAGCTGGTTGAAGGGCCCGTGTGATCGCGTATCGGGTGGTGGTATAATCGGTGGTATACACTTCAATCCACCGATTACCCGCAGTGGACGTAGGAAAAAGGCCAAGCAGGTCCACGCCGACGCGGTAGAATGGGTCTCGTAGAATTTCCAGTGACTGAAGACGTCCGGCAGAAGAGGCATTTGGTTTTTTTCGTCGTTGACAAGGGTTGCAGGCTGCAACATAACGGCAGACGTCGCTGTACATGCCAGGCCAGAAGAAGCGGTGGCGAACTCTGTCGTAGGTTCGTGACACACCGAGGTGACCGGCTATCAGTGCATCATGAAGCTGGGCGAGAAAAGTTGGACACAACTGAAGGGGAACGATGACTAGTTTTCCTGGGCCGCCAGGCACATAATACAATGGTACAATACACCATCATGTAACTCAAAGATTTCAAGGGAAGGGTCGAGCGTCACCGACGTTAGCCTTCGGATAATGCCATTTAAGAAAGTACCCGTCACTGCTCGATTCCAATGTCATGAATCACAGATAGAGAGAGGATGTTGGCAGGAAGGGTGATTGTAGAGGAATCGCCGCCTGGAGGGTCAACAAGATATCGGGACAAGCAGTCGGCATCTTGATGCGAGCGGCCGGTTTTGTATAGGACTGAGTAGTCAAATTCTTGAAGGCGCAGCGCAGCGCCCAATGGCCAAGACGGGCTGAAGAGTTTAAAAGAGACGAAAGCCAGCACAATGCGTGGTGATCACTGATGACTGATCACTGACTGATCAGTGATGACTGAGTACAAATAGGGGCAAAGCTTTCCGACTGCCCTAACTAGTGACAAACATTCGCGTTCAGTTATTGAATATTTTTCCTCAGCAGGCGATGGAAAAAGGCGGCTAGCATAGGCAACAACAGGGTCGCGTCCTTGTTGTTTCTGGGCCAGGACTGCACCAGTGCCATAGCCACTTGCATCTGTATGAACTTCTGTTGGAGCTGAGACGTCAAAGTGAGCGTGGATAAGAGGAGAAGTAAGCAGCCACACTAGATTTTGGAACGCATCTGCTTGCTCAGGACCCTTGCTCAGCCTCTTTTTTTTTGGGGAGTTGAGTGAGAGGGCATGCGACATAGGTGAAGTTTTTAACAAAGCAGCGGAAGTGAGAACAGAGGCCAATGAAACTCCGAACGTCTTAAGTACAGATTAGTACAGGGAAATCTTTTACTGCCTGTATTTTATTTTGATCAGGGTGAACCCCTACAGAATTAACGAGATGTCCAAGCACAGAAAGTTTACGTCAGCCAAAGTGGTGCTTTGCCGAATTGAGTTACAGTCCCGCCGTACGAAAGACAGATAAGATTTTCGATAGCCTTTCAAGGTGCGTCGAAAAAAGAGAAAAAACAATGACGACGTCCAGGTAGCACAGGCAGGTGGACCACTTGAAGTCGTGGCCTATACGACCTCAGTGTAGCCTATACGACCGCAATTGAAGCATATCAGCTAGTCGTCTGGGGTGCGCCATTCCCGCGGGTTGCGATAACATGGGGTTGTATAAAAACGTTGGTTGGGCGCAACAGCCACAGGTGGATTTGGTGGGGCGTAGTCTGGACGATGGAGCAGATGTTCAAGCTGGCGTTGGCCAATTCTTGCCTCACGAGGGTCTGGATGAGGGAGACGATGACGTGATAGCTGTCGGAGTCGGGGGAGGGTGACGCTAGTGGAGCCGCGGCTTCTATTTCCCTACAGACAATACGGACAGCGTCACCGGGACTTTCCGTAGAAGGTTGGCGAGGGTCTTCGCATGTGGATGTTGCAGCCGTGTCTGGAAGGCGGGCAAACAGGTGGAGAACAAGGTGGTTCTTGGCTTCTTCAAAGCGCCGGCATTCAGAAATAATGTCCTGGACCGTAGATGAATTCTTGAACACAAGGAGGTGAAAGGCGTCATCTGCTATGCCTTTTATAACATAGCCAACCTTATCGGCTTCAAACATCTGTGAGTCCACCTTGCGGCACAAAGCGAGCACGTCCTAAATGTACATGAGGTAGGATTCGGTGCTTGTCTGATCTCGACGTGAGAGCTCATTTCGGGCAGCACGTTGACTTCCCACAGGCCTGCTGAATATCTCCCAGATCTTTTGCTTGCATAACTCCCAGCTGGTCAGCTCTTCCTCGTGCGTTTCATACCAGACCTTCGCGGTGCCTCTGAGATAAAAAATCACGTTGGCCAGCATGAGCGTTGGGTTCCATCGCATATGTACACCCACTCGCTCGTATGACTTCAGCCAGGCTTCTACGTCAGCATCATCAGTGCCGGAAAAGGTATCTGGATCTCTCGGGGGCTCCAAGATGAGGGTTGACGGGCCAGTTGGAGAAAGCACGGAAGTGGTTGGAGAAGGCACGGTAGTCGAAAAGGAGTCGGCATTGTTGGCTTCAGTCGCTATGCCGCAGGCCACTAGGCACCGGCTACGAAGCCCCATTTTGCTTGAAGTGAGTACACCGCACCTTCCACCAACGATGTTACGGGGAGAATAACTTTACTGGACAAAATACAGAACTCTGGGTGGACAAGATGGCGTCAAGCTTGTTCATAGAGACTGACCACGTCGTCTTTTTCCCTGTCCTTTTCGCCGTTCTCGTCTGCCCGTTACAATATTTTCTTTTTGATCGACATTGTTCACAAGTATGAACACAGCCAATAGATCAAGATGGCTGGGCAATGAGGAAGTGCTTAAACTTTAGCCGGGTGGCTGAATCGTGTGAGACAGGCTAAAATTTCTGTGTTCATGTACTCCAAGAAAGACTGTCGTTTTTAAAAAGTTTTTCTATGCATTTCACACCAAGTACTTTGGCTCTCTTCATAAAGATTTAAAATTGTTCACTAGAGAGAAACCTAGTGCTAATTTTTATGGCAGCTATAATGCATGATGCTTAAAGCATGGAAAAAATCAATAGTACCTGGATTTGCCTAAGCTTGGTTCTTTTGGCTCTGCGTGGCTCCACATGGCTTCTAGCCACTTGTTTGTGCGACAAAGTGAAGCAGAAATTCACCAGTCCCACTTTGCCACCTTAACCCTTCTAGGCTTTCCTATTCAAATCATTTCATGAGGTTCGTAATGTGCAATTCTCTTATGTGAAAGCTTGCTTCCGAAACATGAACCAGAACGTAATATTAAACAGTAACAAGTGCTTTGGAAGCCGCTAGCACAAAAACTTGGCAAATAATTCGTTTGATGTCTGAGTGACCGCAGTTCCACAGTTTTGTCTAGTGCATATTTTTGGAAACTTTTTTGAATATGCCGAAGTACTGGGGTGTTACCAGCAGCCTCTATTCTTGAATGGATGGGTGCAAGGTAGATTGGGGCGCTTTGTGCTTTTGAACGTTTCAGTGAATGAGCGCAACTTCGTGGACTGGAACCTGCACCTTGCCTGAATCAATTAAACCTAACGTAACAATTGCAGGCATCCCGAAAGCTTTAGAAACTTGCTATGCACTGTTACAGCGCACGTAAAATAAGTACACTTAGTATGGTGATTGGTGAACACTTTCTATACTGAAGTTGGTCTCCAAGGGCCTAATGTCGCTCACACAATCCTGATGAAGCATAATTAGAGCACAATTAAGGTCATTGACAAATCTATATGTGATAACACACTAAATCCATATTGTAGCAAAGTCACATCTGTGCCACAAAATACTTTGTTATATCCAAAAATTCATTATAAACATGTATTTGTAACAATGTATCTATGACAACACTATTCATCATTTAATTCGCTATAACTTATTATTTGTTATATTTGTGTTCAATATATCGAGGTTTGAACGTACAAACACTCACGGGGCTATGTAGTTGGAAAAAAGTTTGCATAGCCTCAAGGGTAGGGTACTTATTTGGATGAACACAATTTAAACATTGGCACGAAACATTGGCTATGCAATGCGAGGTAGCAGCCGAGCTTGTTCTCACCTGCATGTCACCACTTACAAAAACAGTATTGCATTCCGTATATGCAATTATGTGCATATTTTACAGGATACATCTGCAGCCAAACTTGACTCTTCTTTAGCCAGAAATAACACTGAAATCGATAGTTGGACAGAAACCTGTCTGGTCAGGAATAGGAAATGAAGAAAACTAAAATACGCTGATCATGATGAAAGGAAATAAAGATGCGTAGAAAATGTAAACAGTGCAACTGCACAAACACAAGATTTCACAGCTTGTAAACACTGCACTGTTGATTGCATGCATTGATTTAATGTGTGACCTTGTGATAAATATCTCATCATTTCTTTCAGGGTACAGACAGCCCCCACTACAGGGCTCTTCTTGACAAGCTATTAAGGTAAGCTATGTTTGGTTGCCCACTGGACGTGCTTGCACTTTATAGTTATACCTGCCTAGAGCGAATCTTCATATAACGAGTTTCTCGATATTACGAAGTTTTCAGATGTGAAGCTTCTTATGTTGGAGCTCAATCTGGTGTGCGGTGTTACCACCCTTACTGTGCATTTCGCGTACCTTTCCCCTTTCTCCAATTATATGCTCCCCCTCTCTGGCATCGCAACGCCGACGCAGGCAGCGTCTTCTAGCCAATGCTTGCTCCCCCCTCCCTTCCTTGTACACATCGCTTCCTCCAGGCTATAGATGGGCCAGCTCATTTGATCAGCGTTCGCACGCTTTTACCCGCTCGTAAAAGTTAGGATGCATGGGGGCATGTTATCAATTTGGACTTGTTAGGGAATGTGATGGTGACAATAAAAAAAATCGTACAAGAGTGTCCATATAATTGCTATTGCAATAATGCTGTTTTTTACGGCTAAATAAGTGTTTTGGATGAGCTCTGCCTTCAGTTGCTTTTTTGTTTAATTTGTGCATTTAGTTTTTGAATTTTGCTACCGAACCTACATATGATGAAATCCTCTTTATAGCGAATTTTCTGAGGAATTTGTCAATTTCGTTATATTCACGTTTCACCATATACAGACCGGCAGATAGAAACATATCTGAGCATTTTCTTTGTCTAGAGAAATATAGCTTTAGTAATCTGTTTTGGCGAGTGTCAATGCCATCACCACCACGATAGATACTTTTAATTTTTTCAAACTAGGCCTTAATCGGGTAGCCAGTCACTGCCTGAAAGTCAGAAGGCCTCTAAATGTCTCCACGAATTGCAGCTTATCCTGTAAAAGTGACAACTGTAGCCAAACGAGCCCTGTTTCATTTTAGGATGCTGCAATGAGAGGAACATAATTGATATTGTTATGGAAGAAAAGAGACGCCGTATCGACGAGGCTGTGGATTAAATATATTTCAAACCAGCAGCAGCGGCGTAACTGGTTGACCAGACACCAAGCAGAGACTACTTTTCGTCCTCTTCGTCAGGCACACACATGCATCGTCCCCCAAGATGTCAACATGCCTGTAACATTATCCCCTGCAACAGAAGTGCCGTCTCGGCACATCTAGGTGTCAACCTCAGCGGGAGAGTCATAAGGCTTCAAGCGTGCCACATGTACGATTTCTATGGTCTGTGGGGCAGTTGAAGGCGATGAAGCAGCAGGGGCAATTTCGTATGTCACAGGAGTAACCTCACGAAGGACTCGATATGGACTTGTGTAGCGAGAAAGAAGTTTTTCCAACAAGCCGACTTGACGGGTCGAGGACCAGAGCAGGACCAATGAACCGGATAAAAAGTGCACATCGCTGTGCCGTTAATTGTACAAATGCCGCTGGTTCTCTTGAGAGGTCAGAAAGCGAGTGCGGGCGATTGATAGGGTCAAGGGCATATTCGCTGGTTGGTGTCGCGATAGATGGAACGATTTCATCTAGAGGTAATGTAGGTTCTCGGCCGAACAACAGAAAAAATGGAGAGTAAGCGGCAGTGTCATGGCGAGAAGAATTATATGCAAATGTCACGTATGGCAAAACTAGGCTCCAGTCAGAGTGGTTAGAAGAAAAATACTTCGCAAGCATGTCTGTAAGTGTTCGATTCAGACACTCCGTGAGTCCATTTGTCTGCGGGTGGTTCGACGTAGTGAGCTTGTGCCTCGTTTGACATGACTGAAGGATATCGGCTATGACCTTTGATAGAGAGGTGCGGCCACGGTCTGTAAGCAGCTGGCGTGGGGCTCCATGTTGCAAGATCACGTCCTGTAGGAGGAAGTCGGCGACATCTGTGGCGCAGCTTGTTGGAAGTGCTCGTGTGACGGTGTAGCACGTGACATAGTCTGTGGCCACAGCTATCCACCTGTTGCCAGAAGAAGACAAGGGAAAAGGGCCCAGGAGGTCTAAGTCAACACGGAAGAAAGGTTCTGACGAAATGTCAAGTGATTGAAGGTGTCTGGCAGAAAGCATCGATGGTGTTTTGCGGCGCTGACATTTATCACAAGCTGCAACGTATCTTCTGACTGAGCATGAAAGCCTTGGCCAAAAGAAGCGTCGGCGAATCCGGTCGTAAGTGCGTAATACAGAAAGGTGGCTGGCAATCGGAAGGTCATGAAGTTCATGGAGAACTGCCGAGCGAAGGTGTTTCGGAATGACAAGCAGCTGGGCTGGTTCATCTAGGTGGAAGTTCTGGCAGCATAGGACGCCATCGTGGAGGACGAATGAGCGATGGGACCTGTCGGAAAATGGTGATTGGACTCGTTCGATTATAGCACGCGAGGTTGCATCACGGCGTCGCTCATCACCGATGTGGGTCTGTTGTGAAATGGAGAAAATGCAAATATCGATGTCGATGTCAGCGATAGTGCTCAATTCATCGACCGGGTAGCGGGAGAGGCAGTCAGCGTCCTGATGTAGGCGTCCCGACTTCTACATGACTGTATAGGTATATTCTTGCAGTCGCAGAACGCAGCGCCCAAGCTAGCCAGTAGGATCCTTCAGTGACGAAAGCCAACATAGCACATGGGGGTCCGTTATTACAGAGAAATTCAAGCCATACTAATATGGGCGGAACTTCGTGACTGCCCAAACAAGAGCAAGACATTCACGCTCTGTTATTGAATAGTTGCGCTCGGCAGCTGTGAGAAGGCGGCTAGCTTAGGCGATAACACGGTCGTGTCCCCGCTGTCGTTGGGCTAGGACGGCTTCAATCCCGTGACTACTCACATCGGTTCGGGCTTTTGTCGGAGCGGCCGGGTCAAAGTGGGCCAATATAGCTGGAGTCGTGAGGAGGGTGATGAGGTAAGAAAAAGTGGCAGCTTGAGCGGAACCCCACGTAAAAGTCACATTTTTCTTCAGAAGGTCGGTGAGTGGTAGAGCGATTGTTGCAAAATCTTTCACGAACTTTCTAAAATAGGAACAATGTCCCACAAAGCTTTGGATGTCCTTGACAGACTGGGGTACAGGAAAGCTTGTGACGGCACGAGTTTTCTCTGGGTCAGGCTGCACATCTGATGCGTCGACAAGGTGGCCCGACATCGTAATCTGCTGGGGGCAGAAGTGACATTTCGACGAGTTTAGTTGGAGGCCAGCAGTGCGGAAGATGTCGAGAACTGCTCCCACAAAGCTCCAGATGTCCTTGACAGACTGGGGTACAGGAAAGCTTGTGACGGCACGAGTTTTCTCTGGGTCAGGCTGCACATCTGATGCGTCGACAAGGTGGCCCAACATCGTAATCTGCTGGCGGCAGAAGTGACATTTCGACGAGTTTAGTTGGAGGCCAGCAGTGCGGAAGATGTCGAGAACTGCTGACAAATGCTGAAGGTGTGTTTCAAATGTAGGCGAATATACAAGGATATCGTCCAGGTAGCACAGGCCTGTTGACCACTTGAACTCTTTTAATAGCGAGTCCATCATATGCTGAAACGTGGCTGGGGCGTTGCACAGCCCAAACGGCATCGCCTTGAATCGGTATAGGCCGTCGGGAGTTACAAAGGCAGTTTTTTCTTGGTCTTTCTTGTTCACCGCAATCTGCCAATAGCCAGAAGGTAGGTCAATTGAAAAAAAGTATCACACACCGTGAAGACAATCGAGGGCGTCATCAATGCGAGACAAAGGGTAAACGTCCTTTTTCGCAATTCGATTAAGGTGGCGGTAATCAATGCAGAAGCGCCACGTGTCATCTTTTCTTTTAACGAGCACAACGAAGATGCCCAAGGGCTCAAGGAGGGTTCAATAATTCCTTTGGCAAGCATCTTGTTGACTTCTTCTTAAATTACCATACGCTCTGTGGCAGACACCCGGTATGGTCAACGATGAATGGGAGGAGAATCAGCAGTATTAATGAGGTGCTTTACGAGGGAAGTCTGACCAAGTGGACTGCTGTCGATGTCGAATATGTCCCAGTAGGAAGCAAGAAGGTGGCATAGGGCATCGGATTGCTCAGGTTTGAGTTTCGGGGCGACCGTGGGGCGCAAAGCCGCGTCGAGGGATGTGGCGTTTTGCGGGTGACATGGAAGATTCGAGAATGCGTCTGCTGTAAAAGCCGTGATGTGGGCGTGTAGTGGCGATTGGGTCGCGAATTGGCAACTGAAATTTCGTGTGGTAGTACTTGCTGCGTGAAGCCGAAATCGATAATGGGCAGACATCTCCGGTTAGAGGCCATGGTTACGATGGAGTGTGGCACAGTGATCTCCCGCGCCAGGAGAACATAAAGAATAGGCATGACGACGTAATCACCATCAATAATGAGTGAAATTGTTGCCAATTCAATGAATTCGAGGGCTTTTGGCGGTATCCGACTGAAGTCTGTGATACAAAGGCTTTTTGGCAGCTTGGGGCGAGAATCTGGAAGAAAAGGAAGTTGTAAACAGAAAGTGCCGGCGGAACAGTTGATCAGGGCAGAATGCATCGATAAGAAGTCCATCCCAAAGGTGAGGTCATAAGGGCAATCGTCGATCATAGTAAATAAAACAGGAACATGGCGGCCGGTAAGGCTGATACGAGCGGTACACATTCCAATAACGGCCACAGTTCCACCATCGACAGCACAGACGGCGTGTGTTGCGGCAGACATGAGTACTTTTTTGAGGCGAGGACAGAGACGAGCACTCATTATAGACACCTGAGCTCCAGTGTCAACTAAAGCCGTCAAAGAAAGACTGTCCACATGCACTTCCAGCAAGTTCTTTTTAGTAGATGGCTTCAACGGAGGATTCGGGTCAGTCGCACTTGATGCAGCACTACCTCCAGGAGCTGTATGATCTAGTTTTCCATCGGAAGATCCGTAGTTAATCGGCGATGGATAGCGGCGAGGTTGAGGCGATGAAGAACGGCGGCGTTGCGGGGACTGTGAATGAGCGGTAGAGTGGCTGTTAGGTGCGTCGGAAGCAGGATACTCACGGCTGGGCGAATACCAATGGGGGTCCACGTATGGGCGAGGAGAATAAAATTGGCTCCAACAGGTGGGCATCCAAGTGCTGCGGCTGTCACGTCCCCACATTGTGGGAGTGTGTGTGTAGGCCACCAAACATAAGCTTTCCTCTGGTATAGACCCTACTCAAGCTTGGGAGGCTGTTTACAGTCGAGCGTACTTGAGCACTCAAAGGCTTTCTTGGGTCACACTGAGCATACCGCAACAGCCACTGGAGTCCTCGAAAATAGACCCACCCTTGTCGATCCCTTATATAGCCTATTTATTGACTAAAGTTTTTTAATCAATCAGTGTTCATGAGCTCCACTGGTCACCCACCTTCAACAAGTGGATTGTTCTCAAGTATTTGTTTTTTCAGAGGTGAGATTAGGGCACCTGTTGTTTGTCGCATGATAACTCGAACCTCATTATAACAAAATCACACCTGCTACAAAAGTACTTCGTTATATCCGGAAATACCTTGTAAACATATATTTGTTGCACTGTATCTATCACAGAGCTATTCTTTGTTTACTTCGTTATAACTGATAACTCGTTGTATACGGGTTCGTTATATCAAGGTTTTAGTGTACCTGTATGTGCCTCCTCTTTGTCTGTTTCTTACTTAATAAATAAGCGACAATGCAACGCATTTTTGCAGTGCTTTGGAGGATGCTGCCGTGAGTGCAACAGTCAAGCGTGAGGTCCTACTTTACGTCACACGAGTGGCTGAGGCACGAGAAGACCTACTCTCTCGGGGTGCGTGCCTCTGCGTTATGATAAAAAATTTTAACCAACGTGGTATGGTTGTCATTGAATGATCTAGAGTAAAGAAAGTAAACTCTTACAGTGGAGCTGTTAAACTTTTCATTTTGCTGTGTTTCAATATGCACGCAAGTACACTCAAACCTCTTTATAACAAAGTTGCATCTTGTGAGAAATAAGTTTGTTATATACAAAAATTTGTTATAGTAAGAGTTATTCTTAACACTTTTTCTATTGTGAGACAATTTTTCATTAACTTACTTATAACAGATATTTTGTTATATCTGTGTGTTACATATTGAAGTTTGAATGTATGTTGATGCAAGACTGAACCATTCTCTGTTGATGCCTTGATGTGGTCCATCTGAGACATTTCGTTGCATTTATGGATGCAGAGGACGTGGAGCGAGTCTTCAAGCAGCTTCCCGGCTGGCTGTTGGACTGCTCGCTCTTCTCGTCTCCGCGTCTGCTCGGCGTGTCTTCGGTCACTGGACCGTCCCCGTCAGCTACAGCCGTCACTGGCTCCTCACGGTTCCGCCGTTCCGACTCTGCCCAGGCCGTCTCCGAACTGGATGGGGTCGTGTCGCAGGAGACCTTCACTGTTCTCACCTCCGGTCAGCCTTATTTGTGTCTGCATTATTTCGGCGTGCCAACATTTCTTGCAAACTGCCGTGGTGGCTTACATCGATGCCACATGGTCACTTTTGATCACGATTGGGTCTTACCCGGATCTGATTCCTCGGTCTTGATTAGCTCCTTTCCACAAGCTGCAGAAGAGAGCAAGTCATAGTTAGCAAATTTAATCTCAATCGAGCTTAAAGGGGCCCTTTAACGCTTGAAAGCATCGGTGCTGACTGCATTACTCGTAGTGGCGCTTGCCAGACTATTGGGAGCAGGAATGACGCCGGAAGGTTGCCGCCATATAATTGGATAAATGCAACATTAAATGTAGTCACGGCATCGCATCAAAAATAGGGATTGCTATCAGATTTATTTTTTTGCTAGCATGATTTTTCACTCATAGCTGAAGGGAATAAAGCTATACGACTTTTCCAGCTTGAAAACTGCAAAGCTGGTCAGTGAATGTGCCGAACGCCACGGTGCTGGAGGAAAAGCGCCAGGGATGCTCTCGCTGTTGCTTGAAGAAACTAAAAGCAAAAAAATGTAAAAAAGCATTGATATATAGATGCAATCGCAAAAAGATTAGTAAAGCTACAAAAAATAGAAGTGTTCGCGAGCTGGCTCGCACATGTCATTCCCTTTTCAAGTACCACATTATTTATTATCATTGCAACGGCGTCCTGAGCATTACGGGCAATATGACATGCTAGCTTCCTGTACGGTAGGGCTTTCAGTTCGCTTCATTGGGCAGCCTTCCGACGTCACACGGTGAGGGAAACACGTTCAGGTGTGCCCGTGAAAATAAAGTTGAGGGCAAGCATCTATTTTATTGTATTTTGATATTTCTACGCTGAATCTTTGCGCTGAGTGCCACTATCGCTGCTGTTCTTGTGGCACTTATCTCTTAAGCCTTCAGTGTACACAACCAGCTAGAAAAACGTGTAAATTTATGAGGTTGTGAAAAGTGTTAGAGGGCCCCTTTTATCGCGATAGGTGGCTCACTGTGTGATGCAGGTGTTAGTTATTACGGTGCTTGGCTGCAGATGCAAAAAACATGAGTTGTATCCCCACTGCTGTGGTGACATTTTGATTGACAGGCAAAATGCCACACACATATGTACTGTACGATTTCAGTGTACGTTCAAAAACACCAGATAGTCAAAATTATGTGGAGCCCTCTTTTGTGGGGTCTCTCGCAGTCTTGGTTTGGGACAAAAAACCACCCAACCAATGCCGCTTGCATTTGCTGAGGTAATCTGCTGCCAAACGTCAAGTGATCAGTATTATTCTAGGCTGAATTAGTGTACGAAATGAGAACAGTCAGTGTAGAATGAGGGACTACAACCGATGTTGATGCCTGTACGTGTAGTTTCCACCCTGGTCTACTCTGAGTTTGCGCGGCCAGACTGCTTTGAAACCTGCGGTGTTATCAAATATTGTGATGCACCATACAGTTTAACAGCGGGAGTAAGTTGGCTTGTAAAACGGGCATTGTGACAAAGTGACTAGATAAGCGTAATCTTGAGTAGCACTTTTTTTACAGAGACAGCAGGGAAAAGGGGGGCACCACACTCGCTACTCTCGCAACTACATTTATCTTAGAAAAATGCTTCATATATATATATATATATCTACACCCACACTGACCCCGAGCGACACATCTTAAAACACTTTAACATCGTGCAAATTAGTATGCTGAACTGCACATTTTTGTAGGTTTTTTTAGGTTTATGTTTTTTATTTCTTTGGTGTATAGGCTGCACATGCTCCGTTCTTATCGCTTGAGTATGCGCACACTGTCTTCCGTGGACAAGAATGCATGAACCATTAAGCTCATTGCTACGCGTGCCTTGATTATTTTATCGTAAGAGCACAAAATTTGATATCGAATAGTTTTTAGTGCCTACTTCATTTCTGTGTCGCTCGGAGTCAGCATGGGTGCATGTGTATGAAGCTTTTTCTTGAAATAAATTTAGATGCGAGTGTAGGGAGTGTTGTGTCCGTCTTGTCCGTACTGTCCATGTAGAAGAGTGGGCTGCTTAGCATTACGGTATAATGATCAGTCCCCAACTAGCCCAGCTCTCAACCATATCGAGTGGATTATTGGTGCTGTGGTTGTTCAGTTACTGTAGGCATAACGGTTAGCACAAATATTTGTCTAAGCTTTGCGCTTTCCGCTCCAGAAGCATGCGAGGATATACGTATCAGACTTTATACTTCTCAATTTTCAAGTACGGTCAAGCCCACATAACGGCCCCACTTAAAACGAACTTTCGCTTAAAAGGAACAATATCCACGTGACCGTGAAAATATACATTGGTTCAATGGCACAAAATCGCACTTACAATGAACGTCTTTGAGCGTCGCTGATCGGTTACAGTGAACGAAGTTCGTGCTCTGCTGACTTCCCGAGAAACCACTTTCAACCGTGGATCAGGCATCAGCGAGGTGCCCATAGATTCTTATTGTTAAACGCCGACCCTGTCTCCGCGCCCCTCTAGTTACCGTATTTACTAGATTCTGCCGCGCTCTCGATTGTAACGCGCACCCGATTTCCACAACGAAAAAAAAAAGTAAAACATCGATTGCAACGCGCACCCATTTTTCTCGCTGGCCCACACGATCACACCACTCGAAAAAACGACTCCTTTCGGGAGCGTCTTCCATTTTAATATGAGGTACAGGCTATGCTTGTGCCCATCTGACGTGTAACAGAGCATTGCCGTCACTGTAGTTTTACCATGGACCGATGTCAGCATGCGAACTTGCTTCGCCCCCTTCTTCTCGACGGTTGTGGTGCCAGGCATGTCGAAGTAAAGAGGCATCTGATCGGCATCCCCTATTTGCCCAAGCAGAGATCCGTTGTTGTGCCGCAAGTTTAGGACGAACCTCTAAAAACTGTGAAGCTTTTCATCGTACTCCTCCGCAAAACTTTTTGCATATGCCCGTTCCCCTTCGGACGGAAAATCCTTTTCTCTTCATAAAGTTAGTTAGCCAGCACCTGCTCGCTTTAAACTGGCTCCGCATTAGACCTTTTTCTAAGGCTAATTGCATAGCCCGCACTTGGAGCAGTTCTGTCGTCACGGACCGCTGTGCCGCTCGCTGCTCAAGCACATACTCGCCGAGCAGCTCTTCAATTTGCGGAGACCGACCCTGCTGTGGTCCACTGAAGCATTTGCGTGAAGCTTTGCTGTCGACAATCTTCTGCTTTTGTTTCCGCCAGTCCCGCACGCACGTTTCGGGAACTCCGAATGACTGCGATGCGGCCCGATTTCCGTCTGTTTCTGCACACCCGATGACTTTTAAAAGCGGCATCGTGGTGCACTCGAGTTTTTGGAGTCGGCCCTTCTATGCCGTCGATGTTAATGCACTACAAGATGACGAACTCCTCAGCACATGTGCGAAGTGCCGCACATGGAAACACATAGGCAGAAATGGCCGGCGCGCCATGCCGACACACGTAGGGGGCGGCCATTTTGGAAATGCCGATGGCAATAGGATGACCATATTCATTTTTTTTTTTCGTACTCGATTCTAATGCGCATGCGATTTATGAACTCGCTGAACCGGAAAAAAGGTGCGCGTTAGATTTGAGTAATTACGGTACCTCTCTCCCCGACCGCTTTTTGTTACGCACCCTTCATCCTTTGTTCCCAGCTACTGTGAGCACCCCGCATCGCCAGACGAGGCCCGTGTTTTCACAGTGCCACGGATCTTTCAAAGACCGGTCGGCCATCTCCACTGTTTTTGATCGCTGGTACTGTCGTCGGCGTCGCCGGCCTGGAGTGACCAGACCATTTGCCAACATCATCGGCCACCAACTATATCCGATCATCTGCGTCTAGTGCACGCGTGTACGCTACTCCACTGACTTTGATAATTTGCGATTCGTTGGATGTTTAGGACTTGTTCTCGCTCACTTCGCACTCTGCTCAGCATGCCCTCCGCACGCGTGTGGAGGCGCGAAAACGGCTGTTAATTTGCACGGAACAAATCGCGAAATATTGAAGTTGATGAGGCCATGCAAACCCGCCGGCGCGAGTTTCAAGTTCAAAAACTCTTTCTCAAGTTTTTCTGCGTGCGAGTTGCGCGTTTCGCGGACCTTTCAAGCAAGCTACTCAACCTGCCTCCTTCCCGTGTGTTTTGATATTCAAGGTCGCCCTCTCGCCATATCCTCCCCTCTCTTCACTCTATTCCAACTCCTTGCCCTTCTCTCGCAAATCTGCTTTCCCCTCTTGATCACAACTCGTTCGCCCATCTCCACCGCTCCGCGATGCCAGCCACACTGGCTCGAATTAGTTTCGCTTCCCGACTATAAACGGGTCCAGAGCTGTAACACGCATTCTGGCATGCGTGTCACGTGAGCATGTCTTGCTCGCTCTTGGTGTGCGTGTGTTATCAGGATGGCAGACGGGAGGACTTGCATGCCTTTTCCTGCCGCTCAACAATACGTCGAAAGTGTGACCGCTTGACTTGAACGTAATCCGCACGTTAAGTGCCGTGTTGATGCGGAGCGCTTGCTCATAGCTGTTGACCACCTGGCAGCCAACTTGCCACTTCGGGGGTCCCAGTATTCAGCTGTGGAGATGGTGAATATTAAGTGGGTGGTGGTGACGGCTACATGCGCCCGAAACTTCGTCGACGTTGGGCCCGATGCCGAGCCTGAAGCTTCGAAATATGATCACTGCGGCAGCAATTTGTGGCAGCGCGTCGTCGGCGCTGACCTGCGTGGGCGGGTGGGACATCTGTTGCGATGGTTTAATTGCAGCCGATGATGATGCCGTCACTGTGGAACCATGCACGGATAAGGCATTGTGAATGAAGTACGGGGCAAGAGCGATTCGGAGGAATCGGAATGTGAGAACGACGATACTTTGGAGCCAGGGCCTCATGCAGCTTATGCCACGGACCTCGGAGAACGAGCACCCTGCCGTTTAAGTGAACTCTAGACCGCCTGTATCGCTTTTGCACTTCGAAATATGTGCATCATAGACTTTTTGGGCAAAAAAAGTTTGTGTTTTCACTCGCAAATTGTTTAAAAGTTGTGTTACATTTACTACGAACTTCGGGATACAGTGAACAAATGCCGCGTTAGGCTCATGTTGGTTATAAGTGGGCTCAACTGTATACACTCACGGCTCATTATAACAAAGTTGCATCTTGCACAAAAATAAGTTTGTTATATCCAAACGTTAGTTTTAATGTCTATTCCGAACACTGTTTGTATTGCAAGGCTATATTTACATAACTTCATTACAAACAATATTTCTTTATATGTGGTTTTGTTATATCCAGGTTTGAGTAGTGTAATCACATTTTTCTAAATGCATGAAAGGTAAAAAATTTTTTGTGACATGCATGATAATTTGGCATTGGTACGTTCACTGTGGTTAATTTACAGATTCAAGAAGTTATGCGAAGCAAGTAGAGGAAGTTCAGGCGTATTCATGTGCCAGCTGTGTCTGTCATGCCTACTGTACTTGCAGCTCCTGTATGCATACTAGTGCCGTATTTTATTCTAGTTTGTGTGCTCACTGACATCACTTAGCGACTGATTCTTGAGTCACTCAGTAGTAAATTTTTGTATGACTAACCACTAATTAGCTGGAACTTGCCACTTTGACTGTGTTGTTCGTTCTGATATAATTAGCATCATGAACTTGCTTTGAATGTGACTTAGAGGCTGGGCAATTGCACTGCTATGTAAAAGGATTTCATTTCCATTTGTGCTGTCTACACTGCAATGAAAGTGCAAAAAGACTTGTGTACTTTGGTTTAGGTGCGCGTAAAAGATCCCTAGGTGGTCATAATTTTCGAGTCCCCCCAACAGTGTGCTACATAATCATATTGTGGCTTCAACACTTGAAAAACAATGAAACCTAATTAAATTATTTTGCACACATGCAGCCAAGTTCTACACGGGCGACCAGTGGCTGAATGGTGCGGTCTTCTCAGTGCTGGGGGTGTGGCTGAGACGAGCAGTGGCCCTGCACTACACCGACGAAACCCTGGTCTCGGCAAGCAAGAAGTACTGCCTCTATTTGGTTGACCAGACTCACCGAAGTGAGTTTGGTTTCCGAGTACCTCTTTTTCCTGTTACGAAGTTTTAAACATTGCTTAGGATGGGATTGAGAGAAAAAAAAAAAAAATGCATGACTATGTTAACTTTAAAGCAGTGCCTGTTGTGTCGATCGCACTAAGAGGCATATTCGTAGCTGGAAGGTAACGTCGTGCTGGCTGCAGCCTCTTTGTAAGATGTTTCCTGTCACTTTTGAAGGCTTGCCCATTCGAGTGGATAGCCCTCGGTTCATTCCGCCACCTCATCTTAATAAACTAATAGAAGGTGCGCTTACATGAGCGTTTTTTTTTGTTCCTGTAGGCTCTGTATAATTTATTGTAAAAGCTGCAATGAGAGCACAACAAGGGTAGCGTGTGCCCCCATTGCCGGTGTCTGTAACCACTGTCGCACAAAGCAAAAAAACTAAGTTAATAAAAAACACCAAGGACACAATGAGGTTCGAACCCGAAGCCGCTGCGTGCTAGCGCAGTATTCTACCATTGAGCCTCGCCGGTGCTTGAAACTCCTTTGCAAACTGGCCTTAGGCAGGCTTGATGTCAAGAAAGTAATCCCGTTAATACGAGTAATAAAGAGTTTCTGAACAGCAAAGAAACAGCCAGGCATCATACAATGTGAGTTGTGTAACTAGTGGGTCGTTGAATGCTCCAACCGATTACAAAAGCTTCAGGCATAAATCTTCATAGTCATCAGCCACAGTATAAAAAAAAATTACACGAAACTTTTTACAAGTGTGTAGCGGGTACCATGATCGTCTGAAGCACGACCTACTGTACTCCTGACCTGCCCAGATAGCGGAGTTCCTATGGGAGCACATGTTCCCTCTCTGGTTCAACTGCTCACTGTTGGTGGCACCACCTAGAACCTGTTCGTCTGCTTCTTTACAGTTGTTTTGACGACGCTGGAGTAAGAATGCCTGCCTTCTGTGGTGAAGTGCCGGCATGTATGTGACCATTTCTTCGCTTAGATGGCTGGTCAAGTAGGCTGTTCAGTGTGCTTAAGTATTTATTGCACAGTGGTTGACAAACGTGGGGACCCGTAGACTTACATGGTGTTGGACAGCCTATCTGGTGTCGCGCTCATTTAATTGCAAAAAAAATAAATAAAAAAAATGTGAATGACTTTTAGTACATTTGTTTCTGAGTTATTTTTTATTTGTGCATATTTGGCCAACAAAGCACACTTTATGCGTGCTCTTTTGGCCAAAATATGACCACAAACGGTGAAGGTGATGCGGGCAAACCAGTGCTGGCTCGTACGCGGCTCGTAGGTTACGGCTCTAGCGGCAGAAGGTATAAACTAGAACATGAACGCTAGAGCGAGGCTCTCTGGGCAGGTCAGGAGTAGAGTAGGTCGTGGTCCGAAGAATGACGAGGGATGGCATAGTGAATGCCTCCCTGCTACGCAAAAATGATGAATAATGATGTAGTGGGCACTCTGCAAGTGTGTTTGTAGCAGTTACCCAAAGTCTGTTGAAAAAAAATGCACTGAAAGGCCACTCTTCCAGCTTTCGCTGTAATTGGCAGCTTTTTTTTTGTCTTTTGGATTTTTTGGCACTTTCATAACTGCAGGTGAGCCCTTTGCAATCAAGCTGCTAGTACTTGATTTTAAATAATTGTCATGCTCCTGTGGCTGATCATTATTGTAGCTCTCATTTTGTCAGATGTCGTAATGGCTTCGTGACAGCACTCTTGGTGGCTTCTTGTTGCATCCTATTTTTCTACTTAAAACTGCGTGCTGTACCAGCTAACTCAAGTGCTAGCCCCGTTTGTCTGGTTGAGCGTTGTCATGAATTCTGGAAAATATCGGTTTCATTGAAAATTCAACTGTGGCTGAAGTACAAGTTTCAGAATAATCTGAAGAAAGGGTGTTGAATATTAACAGAATGTGTCGTGTTATTTAAGTTAAAATATTATGTGCAGTAGACTGTCATTAAATGAAACCTGTGGGGACCAGGGAAAAGTGTTCCGCTTAACAGGAGTTTCATTTACTGAGAGGTGAATAATGAAACAGAATTCAGATATGAAGCCAATTATATTACACACAGTTGTTTTGTTTTAAGGGAACACTAAAGCAAAATATCAAGTCTACGTTGGTCACTGAAATAGCAGTCCAAGAACCTCGTAGTGCATATTTTGTGCCAAGGAAGGGCTTATTTTCAAATAAAATCTTTGTTTAATGGTCTACATCGTGTTTGTGCACTTCAAATCACCCACCTGAAGTGGTCTTTTTGATGTCACTGTTGCCATGCCCAACGTTGGCAGCAGGCCCTGCCGCGGTAGTCTAGTGGCTAAGGTACCCGGCTGCTGACCCGCAGGTCGCGAGATCGAATCCCGGCTGCGACGGCTGCATTTCCGATGGAGGCGCAAATGTTGTAGGCTTGTGTGCTTAGATTTGGGTGCACGTTAAAAAACTCCAGGTGGTTGAAATTTCCGGAGCCCTTCACTACGGCGTTTCTCAAATTCATATGGTGGCCTTGAGACGCTAAACCCCACAAATCAATCAATCAATAATGCTTGCGCTTTAGAATGCTTGTAAACTCAGACATCAGCCTCATGTTAATTATTCACTCATCGCTTCACTTGCCTTGCCTCACTAAATTGGCACCAACTAGGATTGACACACCATAAAACCATACCATATCGACATACCATAAAATTATCGACATACCATAAAATTCCAAGCAAGTGCCCCCACTCGTGCAAGCGCCCCCCCCCGCCCCCCCAACTTCATTGCAACTTCAAATAACTGCACCGTCCCGGGGAAGTGCAAACCCCTTTCCAGCGCTTTGCGACAATCCATTCCTGCTTTGAATTGCAGCGCGATTGCGCCATGCATGCTCCACACCAATTGTTGCTTTGTGTGCACGGTGAGAGGTCAGCTATGCCTGTGCATTCCTACACAGCGGTGAAGGAAACTGAGCTTATTCGATGGCATCGAGAAAACAAGAAAATGCACCAGGCATCTCGACATTTCAAGCTCGACAGGAGGTGGATGCGAGAACCGGAGAAGAATTTCGATAATTTGCTGCAGTTAAAGTGCGAGAAGGCTAAGCTTCAACGGAAGCTCAGTAACGGCGCACCAGTGTTCGGCGAGTCGTCGCTACATCGATTTTGTTGCCGAGGTGTGGGCCACTATACTTGAGGAGACAGTTGCACGGTCCTTCAAGGGATGCGGCATTAGTAACGCGCTCGATGGCTTGGAGAACGGCCACCTGCACAGCGGACTGGCCGATGTTCGAGATGTGTAGCTAAAAGACCGTGGTGGGCTTCAAGCGGAATGCTGCGACCTGTTTTTTGCAACTGACTCGGAGGAGTCTTCCAATGGTTTTGAAAGTGATTAAAAGCTACAACAAATTCTGGGCCTAAATAAAGTTCTGTGATGAAATTTTATTCCATGCACACTGTTTATTTTTTCCTGGCATAATAATTTTGCCACCATCTTGAATTTTGGCGCCGTTCTGAGATAGCATCTGTCCCACCCTTGCACTTTGCCGGCAATTTAGACTTCGTTGGAGAGGGGGGGGGTGCATTTGCTTGGAGTTTTGTGGTAGTTTTTTTAACGGTCAGCACTTTTTACTTTTTCAGAGCCCGTACACCCTGAGGACTTCGTGCTTCAACAACTTGTAAGTGGGTGCTTCTCTGCTTTTTTGTTCTTTTACGAAAGAAGGGGAATGAATCAAGGGTTCGTTTTCATTGTTAGACACAACCTGACGAAACTGTCAGACAGTGATGCCAAGGAAGGTATACCGAACATTTTGTAGTCGCTAAACTATATTGTAGTAACTATCATATAAATGTAAGGAAGTAAATGTTAATGAAAACACAACTTGCCGCCAGAGGGGAGTTAACCTGCTACCTTCGAATAATGCACCCCATGCTCTTTCTATTGAGCTACGGCTGCGGTTGCCGTCCTGTCCGTTTTGCTGGGTATTTCTGGACATGTAAACTTGAGTGAGTTAACCAGGGAATTTGATTCATGGTTTATTGACTGAATTTTGTTTTTCATCTTTAACGCAAGTCTTCTAAACAATGAGTTGCCTCATACTAGTTAGGCTCCTTGGAAAGCACTTTTAAGAAAAATGAAGTCTGCTGTAAGTTAAAGCATGGCGTCAGTTAAAGTAAGCGGTATGGCGAGGTCTCGCAGGAAGTGGTTTCGGAGCCTCTACTGCAAGAGATGATGCGTGATGCAAGAGAGATATTGGTGGTAAAGAGCATTGATACCATGGTGAAAAAGTGTAATTCTTTGGTAACGGACTCGTGAGTCGACGCCCGAGTTGACTCACTTGGGCTCGGATCGAGTTGCGAGTCTGATGAGTTCGGGAGAGTAATATTTTGGTGAGCTTGAGCCCGTCCGGATGCACAAAAGTTTCATGACCGTTAGTTGAGCGAATATGCCTTCGGAACATTTTCACGAGTCTGAGTCTGAGAGAGCTCCACAATTTCTGCCAACCTACGGTGACAGTGCCTGGTAGAAGTGGTGCGCACCCTTGACCTGGTGTGCCAGCTGGACAGTAGTCAGGTGCCCGAGGTGATCCTGGTCATACAGCGACTCGCCAACAGTCACCTGCTCAGCCGCGTTACTCTGGGGACTGCCCTGCTTGAGTTCTTCTTGCACCATGGTGAGTTCCCTGCTACCTTGGCCTGAGATAGTTCAATTGCGTAACAATGCAGTGGACGTGAAACCACGTGAAGAAGCGACTGGAATGAAATTATTTGTTGGGGCTTTTGGGTAATGATGCTCTGTTTTTGCCCGATACTGCCTTTGTGGGGTTATTTGACTTCTAGCGTCCCAAATTCTGCAATTCGCAATATTCAATCATTTAAAGAAACGTAGACAAGCACCTTGCTGCTATTTATCTACTAATGGCCTATTCTTGGAGGAAAAAATGAGAAAATGCCTCAATGAGAAAATGAGCAATGCCTCATGAGAAAAGCATATTACTTTTCTCATGAGGCATTGCAAAAATGTAGAGCTGTGTGGATAGCAAAATTATGGGTGCAAAGCGAATTGGAATGTTGAAGTGTGAGTGCGACTCGAACAGAATATTTTCAGAATATTTCTTGAATATTTCTAGAATATTCTTCAAATGGAAGCAAAATTGTCGGAAAAAAGAAAGTTGGAGAAGATTTTTAAGCATATTCTTATGAGATAGCAACATTATTGCATTTATTTTGGCTAGGTTCATGAGTAATTGGCAGGGTGCCTTATCGAATGAGGCAATGCAGAGGTTGAAATGTATTTATATACATAATGTGGTGCAACCAAAGTGTTACCGACAATACTTTACACGTGAATGTCTAAAATGCTATTTCCTCATCCTCCCCTCCTCTTTCAACTTCTGACGAAGTTTAGCAGATGTGGCGGACAGAGAGGTGTTTCGTTCGAGTCCGTGGTTCCAAACCTGCCTCGTAGACGTTAATAAACAGGAACGTCTGAAATGTTTGATGCAAAAGATCTTCGGCGTCCAATGTTTTTCATACTTTCTGCTTGAGTTACAGGTCCAAGACAGCATAAATTGAGCTCTCTTGCCTCCCTCCTGCCACAATGGTTGTCTTCATTATGGAACAAGCGTTTTCTTGAGTCAATACATTTACAAGGCAGCGTTGATTCAATACAAGAATGTAATAAGGTGAAGCATATCAAAAGCCTCAAGGAGTGGTTGTTAATTAGACGTTGATTGTACAGCTAAGCCCCTTTATAAGAGGCACGCTTGGAGCAGCAGGTCCTGACTTTTAGGTTGTACGCAAAGTGGGATGTATGCATTTTTTTATCAACCCGTATTTTACTGTAGGCACATTGGTGTCTTGTATACACATTTCTCCCTTATACCAGTGTTTTTTATGAAAGGGTTCCACTGTATTTGTCTACAATAAGTTGGAAGAGTTCAGATAGCAAAATTTTGGTGTGAATTAAAGAGCATTATTTGAAATTTTGAATATTCACATATTTCTACAAAAATATTTTCATGCAATCCTCATGTGGGGGTTTTTCTGTTGATTACTCATGCACATGTAACGAAAAAATGAGTTGAAAAAATTAACATGTTTCATTCAAAATGAAATGCTAGTTGAACCCTGTTCCTAGATGTAAAGGATGGGCTATGTAAATTTTGATTCTTACCTTCAGTGGCAGAATATGCAAGCTCAAATGCCTTGGCATGTACGTCCATCGCAGTGTCTCAGTTCCATTATGCCAGAAACAGTCATAACTGTTACACCAGTGCCTTCTTATGTTGATTCAAGCTGAAAGCTTCCTAAGTGTAATTATTTATTTATTTATTAGTATACCCTCAGGACCCAGAGGGTGTTACAGAAGGGGAGGGCACAATATGAAAGTGGTAAAAGTTATAATAACAGCATTGAAAGAAATACAGCGAATCACAATAGTGAAAAATACAAAAAATAAGATAAGAGCAGGAAAAGAACCGTAGCCTACAGTCACACCATAAAGGGTTTTGAAACTGCTGACTTGAACAGCCCTTGATCCTTAGTGGCAGCAATGGAGGGGGGAAGGCGGTTCCAATCTCTGCTTGTCTTCGGAAGAAAAGATTGCAGAAAATGGTTGGTGCAGCAAAAGGGAATGGCTACTTTATTCGGGTGGTCAACATGACATAAAATATGCAGGCTCCCCAATTAATTCCTCTCCAAGTACTTGATTATGGAAGAAAATTTTGGTGGAAGAGTGACGGACGAAAGATTGTTCTTCTAGTGGCCAGACCAGGAAGATGTAGAGTAGATTTCATTAAGGTCACGCTGGCAGTAAAAGCGTAGTTGTTAAAAATAAAGCGAGCTGAGAGGTTTTGGACAGCTTCTAAAGCATCAATTAACGTTGATTGAGTTGGGTCCCAAATGGCAGACGCATACTTTAATTTTGGTCAGGCTAATGTCAGTCAACTAGTAAATCTCACGCACTTTTCCCATCCTTGGTGAGTCATTGTCATAGGCTATTGAATGAACAGGCCAATTGTTTAATCATTTGAGATATGTGTGACTTTCGTTATTGCTACTTGTGCATAATTTGCCTGAGGCACTGTGAATGACCTTATTCATGTGTAGCAAATTAGTTTTACTGGCACGTCTTGTTGATATGGGCACCTTCATTCTCCAGAGAAGTAGTTTATAATAATGAACCATTTCAAAAACACACATCAATCAATCAATCAACCAATAAATCAAGCTAATAATCAATTAATATGTATTAATACATAGCGCAGTATACATGCTAAGGATATACAGAAGGTCCCATCGTATCAACTGAAATGGAACCTCTGATACAATATAAACATAAATATTGGATTAGTAACGAACACACATTAAGGAATAATTGTTTTAACAAAGAACATGGCTTATCCAGCCAAAAAAATGAGATGTGGGTTTGCGTTCTATGTTGTCCATGCTACTGTAGTGTCAGGAAAGCGCAACACGTTGGCTGCTTGAAGTGTGCACTGTTTTTCTTTTTTTTTCTTTCTTTGCTCAGTGAAAAGCTGTTAATTTATGTTTAGAATCAGTAATCACCTTCTCTGAACTCACAAGAGAAACATTGAGCCTTGCCTTTTGTGCACAGCGATGACAGTCATGCGATTGTGTTGCAAATCTGATACTTTGCGAAGCGAGTGGCCCTTCTCTATTGTTATCGCTGGTCGTCGTATCAATACCAGAGTGTGACTGAGATGAGCACACGCATTGTGCAGGAATTCTGATAAGACAGTTTGACACCCTCCTTGAAACTTCCTGTGCATTCAACCGCCGAACTTTCCGCTTCGGCTTTGAAATGTTTCATGTTGTGGGCCATGTGTACATAAAATGTAAGAAACATGCCTGAATTTACCCATTTCATTCCTAGAATACCTGTGCACAGTCTGGACTGCAAGTTTCTATATTAACGTAGCAGAATTGCATGGAGAGAAAAAAAGTCTTAGAAAATTTCGTGCATATTGTGCACTATCCATATCGTCTTGTGGTTCATACGAAGACGAAATCAAAATGCACATATTAAAGATAGAACTTAAGGGGGTGAACTTGTTCCTAGTAAAGGAAGTAGCACTCGAAGCGTAGCGAAAGCGGCTAGCACAGAGGTCGGTCATCGGTAATCTAATAAGCGATAAGGTGCATCAGTATTTGTGCATGTGGCATTCTAGCCTTATCATCGATGGTCGCATTATTTTCAGAATAAGTTGTACTGTTTGTGTTGCACTTTGAAGCCTATCAGTACAATCTAAAATAACTGGGAATGTTCGACATTCCAACATGGCATGCACAGGGTAGTGCTGTTACATATGTAATGGGTCAGTTAGGTGTAACTAAACAAGCACACATGGGAATATTATTGTGGTGCATAATAACAAGACATGACTGTATGAACATTGTGAATATCATTGGAACATGTGATTTCTTGAACTGCGTTGGCCCTCTCTATTGCTGTTGAAGAGCTTGTGAGGCTTTGAAGCAGGCTAACAGTTCAGCACATGAGGCAGCTGAACATGATAAGTGTTTTCTCGCTTTTCTGTTGAGCAGAAGCTTATTTTGGATTATGTGAGTTTTTTTTTTATTGTGGGTAAACTGTACCTATGGTCGCATAGAACTTTTGAAGTCTGTGGCCTGTCCCCCTCGAAGCCGAATTCACACACGTGTGGCCCAATGGGCGTGCATTCCAGACTGATGTCGCGAGCTAGATGGCCAGTGATCCTGCCTTCTGAGAACATTGCCAAGTGCATCAGTTGGACCATTTCTGTAATCATGAAGGCCATCGACTGGTGCACTTTGGTTGTCTGAGTGGGGTCTTTATGGATTTCTTAAGTTGTACCCGACTATTTAATAGTTGTAGCCAACTAATTACAGCTCATGATTACTGCACTGGACACGGAAAGCAGAAGTGTAGGTCTGAAAAATAATATGTACAGAACTACAGTAATGCGCGAAAGTCTCAACAGAAAACAGCACTTTGTGATAGATAGAGAGACGCTGGAAGCTGTGAAGGAATATGTCTACTTAGGACAGGTAGTAACGGCAAAGCCAAACCATGAGAGTAAAATAACTAGAAGAATAAGGAAGGGGTGAATCACATTCGGCTAGCATTCCCAAATCATGCATGGTTATCAGCCACTAACCCTCAAGAGAAAGGTATATAACAGCTCCATTTTGCCAGGACTTAACTACGGAGATGAAACGTGGAGGCTTACAAAGAGGGTTCAGCTTAAATGTAACCTCAAGAAACAATGTAACCTCAAGAGACGAAAAATTATGCGAAGCATGCATCGACATTATTCGAAGCAAGCAGAGAGAAGGTGGCTGTGTTGCAATTTTTTTATTGTGCAACACCTCATGAAATGGCGCTAAATATATGTACAAATGTAGTACGCACAGGCTTATGTTGAAGAAGTGACGATGTTTACATAACCAGTTATTTGCACTTGCGCAACTATGCCAACTGGAACATGCGTATTAGCAACACCAGAAGCTGATATGAAACCCTGATGCTCGTGAGGCTGCTGCCCCTGGACACTGCTACATAAATCAACTTCATCGCATGACAGCAAACCACAATTGACATTACCACGACGTGACGGCTATATTAAAGGAGTACGTATGTAATGTTTATAAAATTGGGTAGGCAGCACTG